GCCCGGAGCTGGCCGGAGCCGGACCCAGAGGTACTGAGGAGCAGAGCCCCAAGCCCCCAGGCCCCGGGGTGGGGCTGCTGGGTGTGGGAATGGGCCGGGTTTCTAGGAAGTGAAAGGAGCTCACCCTTTGAACCCGGGATCAGAGATCCTGCTTCCTGGGAGGAGGAGCGGGATGAATGGGGAGAGGAGGTGGTGGTGGAGAAGCAGACTAGGTGTGGACCTTCTGGCTTCTGGGAAGGTGGAGAAAGAATGAGATGGGGGGGGGTTCCTGGGTCTAGGAAACAGGACTGTCGGGTCCTGGGGTAGGGGACTGTTCAGAGCATGGAAATGAGAGCAGCATTTCTGGGGGTAGCTGAGGCTGCGTTCTGGGGCCTGGCTGGGCCCTCGCACACCAAAGGCCTCCCTGGCTCCCTTGCAGCTCCCTCGGCTGCCATCTCCCTGGGCCAGGTCATGCGCTGCCCCAAGTGCCTGCTCTGCCTGTCAGCGCTGCTCACCCTTCTGGGCCTCAAGGTGTACATCGAGTGGACTTCGGAGTCCCGGGTCACCAAGGCATACCCAGAAGCCCGGGGCACCCTGCCAGGTCCTACAGCTGCAGGTGCGGAGCCCACCCTGCCTGCCAACCTCTCAGCCCGCCTGGGCCAGACTGGTCTGCTCTCCTCAGCTTACTGGAACCAGCAGCAGTGGCGGCTGGGGACCCTGCCCAGTGAGGACAGCACTGAGACAGGAGGCTGCCAGGCCTGGGGTACTGCTGCCGCTGCAGAGATCCTGGACTTTGCCTCCTACCCTGAAGACCTTCGCCGCTTCTTACTGTCAGCTGCCTGCAGGAGATTCCCACAATGGCTGCCTGCAGGTGAGGACAGCCAAGTGGCCAGCTGCTCCAGTACTGATGTCCCCTACCTACTGCTGGCTGTCAAGTCGGAACCAGGACATTTTGCACAACGCCAGGCTGTAAGGGAGACATGGGGCAGCGCAACCCCTGGGATCAGGCTGCTTTTCTTGCTGGGGTCCCCAGTGGGTAAAGGAGGACCTGACCTGCGCTCACTGGTGACCTGGGAGAGCCATCGCTACAGTGACCTGCTGCTCTGGGACTTCCTCGATGTCCTCTATAACCAGACACTCAAAGACTTACTGCTGCTGAGCTGGGTGGGCCACCACTGCCCTGATGTGAATTTTGTCCTGCAAGTTCAGGATGACGCCTTTGTGCACATCCCTGCCCTGCTGGCTCACCTGCAGGCTTTGCCACCCACTTGGGCCCAAAGCCTCTATCTGGGTGAGGTCTTCACCCAGGCCAAGCCTCTCCGGAAGCCTGGCGGGCCCTTCTATGTGCCCGGGTCCTTCTTTGAAGGTGACTACCCAGCCTATGCAAGTGGAGGCGGCTACGTCATTGCAGGGCGCCTGGCTCCCTGGCTCCTGCAGGCAGCAGCCCGCGTGGCTCCTTTTCCCTTCGGTGATGTCTACATGGGCCTCTGCTTCCGTGCCCTGGGCCTGGTGCCCCGGCGCCACTCAGGCTTCCTCACAGCCTGGCCAGGTGACCGTACCTTGGACCTCTGTACTCTTCGAGACCTGCTGCTTGTGCGACCCCTCAGCCCCCAGGACACCATCCGGCTCTGGAGACAACTGCATAGCCCAAAGCTCAAGTGTTGAGTCTCATACAGAGCAGGGCAAGGGGTGGGGGGCAGGCCTGGGGCCTGACACTGCCCGGCTCCTCCCTCCAGGCCTGGATGTGAGGGCGGAGGTCCTAGAATAGGACTGCTCGAGCACCTCCTGGGCCCTCTCTGGCCAGGGACAGGGCACACAGGACAAAGCAACAGGCTATTTTAGTCTGGTTTTTTTTTGTTTTCAAAAAATACGCACTTCCCACTCTGAGGCCTGGAGTTGTCTTTGTGTCTGTGGGGCCCTGGAGTGGCCCTGACCTTCGCAAGAGGCACTCCCCCGCCTGGGCAGAGCTGGCTCTGGGCTCCTGGCTCTCTGCCGGACACTAGCCTGTGTCATCCCAGGGGAGCAGGGGACTATCTCTGGAGGGTCTCCTACCCCCATTCATCTGCTGAAGCAGCAAATGTTTCCGGGGGACGTAGGCATCCCAATGGTTTTGGCCTTATTTATCTAAAGTGGAGGTCTGGAGATGTCCCAAATCAATCATGCTAGACTCTGCTGTGACCCCCAAATTCCAGGAAACGGACCAGAGGAGGTAAAGAGTCAAATGCAGAGCCACAGTTTATTCACTCTGCTGACTGTCCATCCGGCCAGCGGAGGGGCTTCCGATCTGAGGGCCTTGCCCAGCCCCTGGGAGAAGGCACTGTAACAGCAGGTGAAGGGGGCTGACCAAGCCTCAGCAACTCTGGAAACACTGGCCCCAAAGTATAAGAGCTTGAAGCATCAGGGGCAGGGTGCTGGAGCCTCACCACTACAGGCTGGGGTGTCACCCTGGCCTCTTTTAGAGGAGATGGCTGGGGAAGGGGGAACATCCTGTCAGCCCTCCCAACTCCACTCAGAGCAGAGCTACCCCTCAGGGTAGCTGGGGCCTCACTTGTCAAAGTGGTCCAGGGGATAGTGCTCCCCATAGGTCTGCAGGTGCTGGGCCAGAGACTCCTGCTGCTTTCGGAGCTGGGCAGGCATCTCCTGGTACACATCGGAGAAGAGCAGGTTGGGGTTGGGCTTCAGCTTTCGCTCGGCCTGCTCGAAGGCTTCCATCACCTGGGAGAACATGATAGGGTGGGAGAGCGCCGACTGCCCCCTCACCCTGTCCCCTCCCTATGGAAGGCCACAGCCTCAGCCACGGTTAACCACTGAGGCTGTATTCCCTCCAGATAGCAGCAGCGATGCTAACACCCCAAATACTAGCAGCCCCATTCCCAGAAGGGACCAGGTGCTACACTGACTGTGTTGATTCTTTCCTAGTTGCTGGCAACTTTGAGATGAGGAACAAGGCCATAGATAAGAGAAGGGACTCAGGGAAGTAGCTGGAGGGAGCCAGGACCAAGATGCGCAACTTGGTGCCTCTGGGCAGGACACTCCTCCCCGACACCAGGACTAAGTCCCTCATCCTCCAGCCACCTTGTCAAGTGGGCACCCAGCGATGGGAGAGAGTGCAGAGAGTTTGCCCACGATGCAGAGCAAGGATGCAGCCGAGGTGCCCTGACCCAGGCAGCCTGGCGTCACCGGCCACAGGTGGGGACAATGCCGAGTCACCCGGGACTCCCAGTCCTAACTCCAGATCCGGGCACCCATCCTCCCAGGGCTCTCCCTGTGCAGCAGCCCCTCCAGCACATGCCCCACCTTCTTGCGCGACTGTTTCCGCCAGGCCTTCTCTTGCTCCTCATCCCACCAGCTGCGGCTCAGCAGGTAGTGCCTCAGCCGTGAGATGGGATGGTCCTGCTTGTCCCAGTAGTTCACCTCATCCACCGAGCGGTACGCCGAGCTGTCGTCACTGGTGCTGTGGTGCCCGATCCTGCCCACAGGGAGAGGACACGGGTCAGCTTGGGGACGCTGAAGCCAGGGTCAGGACGGAGGGAGGAGTGGCCAGGAAGGGAGAGGTGGAAATGGAGCAAAGACAAGGAAGGGGTACAATACAGGGTGATGAGGCCATGTCTGGGGGCTGGTGACACCAGAGAGGCAGGCAGACAGTGGCTATCGGAGCTGAGAGCACAGTGACAGAGAAGCAGGCACCTGTAGGTCATGGCTTCGATGAGGAAGGGCTGGTTCTCTGCCACGGCCCGCCGCCGGGCCTCCTTGGTGGCGTTGTACACGGCGAACACGTCGTTGCCATCCACGCGGATGGACATGATGCCATACCCAGGGCCTCGGGCCGCTGCAGGGGCAGAGAGGACACTGGTCAGGCCCGTGACTCGGGTGAAGAAATGCACGACGGGGGAACAAGCAGGGACAGTGGGAACAGAGCGAGGAAACGGGGAAAGCAAGACAATTCTCCGCGCACTGTCTCCTGTGACTTCTGGTCACAGCCACCACTGGAAGAGAACGGGGCCCTTACCGATGCCATCCCCGCGGTACTGCTCATAGGTGGGCGTGGAGATGGCATAGCCATTGTTCCGGCAGAAGAAGATGATGGGGCACTCGAGGGTGGCGGCAAAGTTAAAGCCAGCATGGGCATCCCCCTCGCTGGCCGCCCCCTCACCAAAATAACAGATGACAATCCTGTTGGCGTTGGCCCGCTTGGCCGCATAGGCTGCCCCGACAGCTACAGGGAAAGGAGAGGGTGGTGAGCAGCAGCACAGAAGAGACACACAGACACTCTCTCTCTCTCTCCTCTCACCCCCCAGCCAGGGCTTGGACTCAGGATGGCTGTCACCAGGTACCAAGGGGAAACCGCCGAGCCTACCCACTCTAGTCTTCTCCCTGCTCATCCCAGAGCAGACACACGGGCCCAGCACACACACACACACACACACACACACACACACACTTCCCTCAAGGTCCCCATCCTGCTCCCTCCTTCAGCCCTCCCGGCTGGTACTTTTACATCACCTTCCATGGTGCGGCCCCCACTGTCTCGGCTTCCCTGTTTCCTGTGAGATGCGCTACCCCTTACACACTCCAGATGCTACCCCTTTACCTTATTTGCCTGTCTCCTCCACCCAAACATAAGTACCAGCACAGCCAAAGTTGTGTCTCTTTTGTTCACTGCACCTACAGCAACACCTGTCTCACAAAGCAGGGGTTTGCTCTGTACATTGCCAAATGAGGGATTCAGTGGAACAAAAAATGGACGGCTAGGCCAGAGGCAGCCTTTGGAAACCCTACTCACCTTGGCTTGTGGTCACCTCCTGAGAGAACACTTCCCGACCCCTCCCCCTGGAGGGTGGAACCGCCCTGTTCCCCAGGTCACAAAGCCATGGCCGTGAGGCCTGTGGAAGCACCTAGTGACCCTGGCTGGACCCTGACCGGGCTGCAGGCCCCACAGGCAGCAAGAGGAGTCCAATTCCTTGGTCTGCCGTACTATGTGGGCACAGGCCTGGCCCCCTACGGGGCTGCTTCCTGAACCTCCCCTATAAAAGAGGCTCAGGGAACCTGGGGTGGGCTCTGGGGATCCGCTCAGCTCTGAGGGCTGAGGCTGACAAGGGACAAGGCAAGAACCCACAGTCCATGACTGAAGTCCCTGCTCTCCTCCCTGATTGCCATGTGACCATCAGGCAGTCTCTTCCCTCTGCCTTCAAGTCCCTCTCTTTATAAGGAACAAATCTGCCTATAAAGTAGGCAATAAACTTTATTCCCATGGCCATGGAAAGTGTCCTATTAGACAAGAAAACAAGGTGAAAGCGCCACGCCCGGACCCTGGTACACACTCGGGACAGGCACGGGAGCAGTGGGAGTCTGGGAACTGGGGTGTCCTGGCTCACAGCTGCTGAACAGGGTGGGCCCAACTCCGGGGCATTCCTCTGCAGGGCTCTAAACAAAACTGTTTTCTAAGTCCGGACCTCAGGTCAGGTTCTGAATGGTGCCCAGCCAGAAAAGCCGGGCCCCGCACAGGGGCGTGATGTGGGTCTTTGTGCACGAGGCTCAGGCACACGTCCTTACCCTGAGGGATCTGTGTGGCCAGCGGAGAGGAGATGGTGACAAAGTGGCGCTCCTTGCAGCCGTAGTGCACGGGCATCTGGCGGCCCTTACCCGGGTCACTCATGTTGCCGTAGCACTGGGCCATGAACAGCTCCAGCGGGTAGTCCCGGTACATCAGCACACCTGGTGGGACAGGTAGTGTGAGCCTGGAGGGTGGGGAGGAGTCAGGCCAACCTTGGGGGTGACCCAGCATGAGCCCCTACTGCCTGCGGCTTCCGACTCCTCATCTGTACAAGAGCCAGACAGAAGCAGAGGAGGCAAACTTGGGTGCTCGTGGGAATCACAATGGGACCACAGGTGAGAACTGGCAGGCAGACTGGAAAGCACAGGCCTATCTTAAGAGAGAAGCCAAGGGTCAGATCAGACGTCTAGGTTTTCAAAGGTGGCAGAAATTCAGCCTGGTGCTAGGGGTGGGACCCAGGGCCTCAGGTATAGGAAGCAAGCTCTCTCTGTCACCAAGTTAGAGCCCCAGCTGCAGACCCCCTTCCCCTTCCCTCTTTTCTTTCTTCTATTATCTTTCTTTTCTCTTTCTTAATAAGAAGCCGAGATTTTTTTTTTTTAAGTATTTTTGCCAGGTGTGGTGGTGCATACCTATAATCCCAGCCCTCAGGAGGCTGAGGCAGGAGAATCACCATGAGTTTGAGGCCAGCCTAGATGACACAGTGAGTTCAAGGGCCGCCTGGATTACACAGCGAGACCCTGCCTCAAAACAAACAAACAAGAAAAAAAGTATTTTCAACTAATTTAGTAATTTTAAGCAAAGGCCATCAATGAATCCTTCTGCTCAAGGAAATATTCTACTTGCTTACAGCTATAAAACTCTTTCTTCAAACAAAAGCCCTGGTGAACGCCAGCTCATTATCAGGGAGCCACCCTGGCGGAAGGAAGCCTGTCTGCCAAGCTAGAGGGCAGGATGGGTCTGTGGTTGTCTCAGGACCATCTAGGACCTTCCGCCCCAGAAGGGATCTGACTTCACACCCACACCTTTGGACAGCACTGGGACCTGCCACGCCCATAGCCTTCTCTGAGGGTCTGAGCTCACCCGGAGCTGTTGCGAAACGTTCACTGCTGAGCTCTTCCTTCAGATGAAAACTTAATGGGGCCAAATACATAACATGATACATGTCCTCCCCAAATGACAACTGCAAACGTGATGTCAGCGCTGATCGGCCTGTTCTTCTTAAGAGTAACCTGGTGACCCTTCCTAATATTCCTGTGTGGCAGGCGGGAGCCGCCTCCCAGATACAGAGGAGCAAACCCAGATCACAGTGCACACATGGCCAGCTCCACAGAGCCACTAACTGCCCAAATGCAAAACACACAATTTGAGACAGGGCCCGGGAAGGGCAAGGGACATATTCCTTGTTACCAACTAAGGGGAATACAGAGACACTGACACAGGGGCTGCTCGGAGAGCCAGCTTCGAAATCACGCCCTTCTTGATGTATCGGTTAGGATCAAGCACACCTTCGAGGTTCACTTTCGGTACATTCCATTAGTTACCTTCTGTCACGCACCTTTGATTAAACATAATACAGATCCACACACGATGTGGCCATACTACGTGGAAAACACTAGAAGAAGAGACACACTGGTAGGAGGAGAAAGGGAGCCTTGTGGAGGGCCAGAGGCCCTGCCAGCAGTCCCACAAGATACTGATATCAGAATGTGGTCCTAGGTCCTCCCACGTGAAAATCACTGGGCAGGAGATAGGAGATGTTTCAAATACAGGTTCTCACCTGGGAGTGGTGGTGCATGCTTTTATCCCTGCACTCAGGAGGCTGAGGCAGGATTGTGAATTTGAGGCCAGCCTGGACACCTTAGCAAGATGCTGTCTCAAAAAACCATAAACAAACAAAGCTGGCATGGCAACACATGCCCGTAACCCAAGAATTCTGGGAGGCCAAAGCAGGAGGATCACAAGTGCAAGCCAAGTCTGGGAACCTTAACAACTACGCAAGACTGTCTCAAAATTTAAAAAATTAAAAAAGGACTGGGGGGTTCAATTCTCAGTAACCACACACACACACACAAAATGTAAAAGCAGTCTCAGAGCAGAGCATTTACCTAGCAGGCACAAGGCCCCAGGGTTCCAACCCCAGCACAGTAAAAAGTTTTTTAAAAAAGAAAACACACACACACACACACACACACCCTGTCTGCCTCAGGCCCAGCACGCAGGTGGTTCTGACTCGGACCAGGAAACTGCAGGTCCTGTGGGAGAAAGTTTTTTAAAAAAGAAAACACACACACACACACACACACACACACACACACACACACACACCCCGTCTGCCTCAGGCCCAGCACGCAGGTGGTTCTGACTCGGACCAGGAAACTGCAGGTCCTGTGGGAACCACCGCTTTGGCTCGATATCTCCTACCTCATCACAATCCTCTCCAATGCCACTCCCTGCCGCTGCCCCAGTCAGAGCCCCACATGTGGCCCTGGAAGGCAGCCAGGGTGGCAAGCAGCAAGGGTTACTGCCGGGTCAGACTGCCACAAGGAGGACTCCATGCCAGACCTCAGAAGGCCCATGGCTGGGCCTCATGACCTCACTGCTGACTCAGGCTGCCTACCTCGCCTTCAAGGGTAACAGGGATGCTGCCTCTTGTGGCTGGGGAGGTGCCTCTGAGGCCACACAACCCGGGCAAGCCCTTACTCCAGTGTGACCATTCCGTGGCCAGGAACAGGACAGAACCCCTGACGTAGCTGGGAACTTAGAGCAGGTAGCACCTTGGCCTTCCAGAGCTCGGTGAGGCCGGCTGTTGCTAAGACCATAATCCCCTCATGTCACTGAGGGAGATGGCCTCACCAAAGGGAGCAGCTGTGATCCAGGCCTGGAGTGCTAACCAGCCTCACCTCTCCATAGTCCCTGCGGCTCCCTAGTGTCTGGCAGCTTGGTTCTCACTGCTAAAATGCTGAGCCTCAAATATCACATGCCACTTGTCATATACCCCAGTGCAGGGGCAGGGGGCATCTGAGGGGAGCAGGCAGCCCAGGAGACTGGAATGCCAGCTGACCTAGGCAGGACTCCACGGCCATCTGCCCTGCAGCATTCCTGCCACAGCTGTCCCTAGGAGAGGCCCCAAACAATGTGAGTGTTCGCCCTTTGGTGTGCCCTGTGCCCTGTACTGACGACTTTGTGCCAACTCCCCAGGGATTCCTTTCAATGGCCGTTTGGGCTAATCACCCCATAAACAAGAACACAGAGGCACCACATGGTCAAGAGACCCGCCCAAGATGGTGCAAAGCCTCAGAGGGTCAAGATTCACCTCGCTACACGTCTGCTGACCTCCAGGGGAGCTCCCTAACAACCCCCACACCAGCAACCCCAAAGCACCCCACTTACTGATTCCCCCACCCCCAGGTACTAATCAGTGCTCTGGGCACCCCTCAGCCCCTCCACTCCTCCTTCGCACCGACCTAGCTCCCCAGGTGGACTGGCCAAGCCCCCATCATGCCCTGTGCTCGGGCCCCTCCCACCTGTTTCTGCTCCCTGGAGGTTCCAGTATCTGGGGAGAGACCAGAGGAGCCGTGCACTGGGTGGAGAGGTGTCCATGGCACTCGCCCACACCATGCCCAGGCCTCAGCTCACTGCAGCTTTCCGCAAGCCCTCAACACAGCTTCCTGATCTCCAACCTCTCCTTTGGTGATTAGATAACAGTGGCTCGGAGAAGAGCGGTGACCTGCCCTGAATGTGACAGGGTAATGAGCAGTTCCCAGCAGAGTCCCAGTCTGTGGGGTGGGGGTGGGGGAGTCTGTCCCTCCCAAATCTCACACCTGGCCTGTCTTGCCGTGAGAGCTCCTTCTCTGGTTTCTCAGGCCCATGTGGCCTCCAGAGCAGAAGTGCGGGCCAAACCCTGAAGACGTACCTGCTTCCCGGTACTGGCCAAACACAAGGTCGGTGCTGTCCAGGGCAGCTGCACTGCCCACGTGCGTCCCCTCCTCTCCATAGTTGGTCATGTAGAAGGAGATCCGGCCCTGGGGGCGGAGGGGGAACACAGGCCCGCGTTTGGTTATACTGGCCAAACACAGGGCCACACGAATGCTGCTCGACTTCTGCGGACTCTGTGGTCAGGGGTCCTCCTGTCGGCTGGGTCTGCTCAGGCATGTGGGGCTCCTCGTCAGCACACGCGCTGCCAGGACGCTCAGAGCCAGTGACCAGTATCTAAGCAGAGAGCTCAAAGGAAGGACTTGGCCGCCGCTGCTGGCCAGGCGTGAGGGAGAACTGCCCCAGCTGAACTAAGGCACGTGGGCAGAGGGCTCCAGGCAGAGACACAATGGGGACCACGAAGCTGGAAGGGCTGGGGCACAAACGGGAGGTGGGAGAGGGAAAGGGAGGTGGCGTGCAAGGTGGCACCCGAGCACTGGGGAAATGAAACAGCCGGCGAGCGCCGACTGTTCCGCAAGGAGCGGGGCGGCCACACCGTTTATAAACCTCGGGCCACACACGGGAATGAACAGAGGGGATGGGGCTGACTGCAGTGAGCCGGGGAGGCGGCAGTGGCGTAGCCCAGGAGCTGGCGAGGCAGGGCAGCGCAGAGGTTAGTGGGCCAGTCCTCAAAAGTGAGTCAGCGCTGCTGGGGAGCTGCAAAGCCAGGCCAGCCCCCTTCTCCCAGCCCCTCAGCCCTATAGCCTGGGAAAGACAGGTTCAAGGCCTCCCTTGCGGCCAGAGGAGGCCAGGGGCAGTTCTGGCCAGTGGCTTCTGGAGAAGGGGGATCACTGCTGGCACCATCCCTGCCCTCTACCTCCTTCTTCCTGCCTAGCTGGGAGTCACGATGCCTGGACCTGTGGCAACCATTCTGTGAACAAGAGGCAACAAAGCACAGTACAGAGCAAACTTGGTGACTGCAATGAAGCAGAAAGAGGAAAGGTCTGGGTGCCCGACAGTGCTGCGAACAGCCGAATGACCTCTAAAGCAACACCTAGACAGGGAATGAGGAGAAATGGAGGCGAGAGGAAGACGGGGAAGGGGATGAGATGTAGGTTGCCAGTTTGCATGAAGAATGTCCATCACTGCAAAATGAACTAGGGGAACAGCAGGTCTGGGATGGAGAGGCCGAGAGGCCAAGTTGTGTTGGGCTCTAAGGATCAGCCTAGCTGGAGAGCTGGTGTGCAACGGAAATGTGGTCACCCTGATTGTGTGTGCTGTGGGGCAAAATGAACCCAGGGCGGCCTTGAAGGGCATCCCCGGCCAGGCCCTCCGGGCTCAGCAGTGCCCTCCTCAATGTTCTCTATGGGCCTAGCTTCCTAACTGCTGGGGAGGCCCAATGAAGTGCTGTCTGCTAACTGGGGAGCCAACAAAAAGAGAACTGACCTGAACTGCCAAGTGAGTGGACAGACGCTGGCCCTGGAGGTCAGCATGGGGAGGAGCTGCACAACGGCCAAGGAAACAGAGCTTGGGCTTGTGGCAGGCAACTGGCTCCCTACTCAGTGGCCTACTCCTCCTCCTCTCCATCAGGAGATCTCATTCCACCACAGGCAGCAGTGAGGGACACACACCAAAGAAACGTAAGCAGGTGTCACTGAACGTGATGCCTAAAAGTTCTTATAAAAGTGACAGTGGAGCCCAGTGTGGTGGCGCACGCCTGTAATCCCAGCACTTGGGAGGCTGAGGCAGGAGGACCACTGTGAGTTTGAGACCAGCCTGGGCTACATAGTAACACCCTATGCCTCAACTACACAGTGAGACCCTGTCTCAAAAAACCAACAAAACAAAAAATGAGGGTGGGGAGGGAGCTGGGATGTGCTGTGTCCATGTCTGACTCTCTGCCTTCCTTCTACTTGCTGCCCGGCATGAGTTGGGATGGAAGGAACTCCTGGGACCATTTGGACCATAGGGTGAGCCTCTGGACAGTAGATCAGAGCAATGAAAGGAGGCCAGTAGCCACCGGCATTGAGGTGCCACCGGACCAGCCCCAGACCACCTATTCCTGATTTCCTTTATCCGAGAGGACAAATGATTCCCATGTTAAGCTACTACTGCTCCTGGTTTGTCTTTCTGTCTGTTTGTTTTTTGGAGTAGGGAGGTCTGCCACTCACAGGTGAACATAATCCTAGCAGGACACACTGCAACACTGCAGGGTGATCTAGGATGAACAAACTGACCTGCGTTTGGCAAGAGGACTCACGCTAGCTCACACAGAATTCTCACCTTGACCCTGTAGGGTGGGTGCTGTTATTAACCCCACTTTTTAAAAGTTTACTTACTCTGTGGTGCTGAAGTTCGGACCCCGGGCCTTGCACATGCTGGCAAGCACACTACCTCACAGCTACATCCTTAGCTGTTAGCCCCATATTTCAACAGTGCAAAAACTGAGGCAAAGATAAGAACAATCTCCTGCCTCGGGTATGACTGTACTCAAGTGTGTCAGATCAAAAGGCCCCAAGGCTGTGGAAAAGGGAGTGAAGGACAGAACGAAAAGGGGTGATCAGGAAGAGCCAGACTTGATCCTGTGGACAGCCAGACAGAACCTAGAGAAGTTTCTGGGCTGAGAAAAGCTACCTCCCTTCCTTGCAGAACCCACACACGGTATTCCTGTGAGTGGGAAGTCTGATACGGGCTGCCTGTCTGCACCAGTGCTGTCCTCAAGCCCCATGGGCCTCATGCACCAGTCTGCAGTGGGACTCCCTGGGGCCTGGCACAAAGGCAGATGCCCAAGCCCACCCTGCTTCAGCCCAGTGGGAATGGCGGACAGCCAAGGGCTTGCCTGCCTGACTCGCTACACTCTTCCTGTAGGATCCCTCTCCAGCATATGAGTGCAGCTCAGGAGGGATGGACTCCACTCCTCGACTCCTTGGTTCCTCGGGGTAGGCAGAATGGCAGGCCTGGCCAGTTAGTCACAATGATTGGTTCAGGACAGGGTCTGGGACCAAAGCTTGGCCAACGAGGATCAGCCCTGGGGCTTTTGTTGGAACATAAGAGAATCCTCTTTCACCTGCCAAGTGGAAAGGGCAATAATTGTGAGCCTGGCAGGTCTGTAATATATAATAATAGTTAATGTATATTGAGAACTGGCTAAATACCCATCTCACCATCCCAAATGCCACCATCAATCTCACGGCAAGCTCAGGAGGCAGGTACAGACAAGAAAATGCAAGCATCGAGAGGTTAGGCAATTTTCTCAGGGACACAGAGCTACAGAGGAGTAGAACTAAGACTCTGATCTTAGAGCCTCACGTAGAATCTGTGCCCCGGGCCTTTTCCCTCTGTGACCTCTCCTTGAGCCTAGAGCTGCCACCAAAAAATGGAGGCCAAGACAAACTAGAAAAGAGACACAGAGAGAGAGATTGGCCTGATAACATCTTTGCGCTCCCTGGACCCAACTGTGGCTGCAAACAGTCATGGAGACTTGCAGCTGAGTCGATACATTTTCTCTTTGTAGGTAGTGACTGGACTCGGTCTTTGTCCACTGACACTAGTAATTCCGAGGGTCACAGCACATTTGATGTGGGCCCAGAGCAGTGCCTGGGCCCTGCAGAAGCACAGTGGGTCCCTGCCTCTCAGGACTGTGAGCTCCTGAGAGAAGTGCAGTCGGGTCTTCTTCTCCCAGCACAGTGAGCTGGGTCTATCTCTTGTCCGTGGGCCAGACCTCTCCCACGGTCTTCTTCCAGAACCCAAGAGAACCCCAAGAACGCGAAGGATCTTCCAAAAGGATCTCCCCTTCTGTTTTCTTAGGAGTTATCCTCTGGCCCATGCAGAGGCAGGGGACCTGAGGTAATTCCCACCCAGCCCCACCCACCTGCCGCTGGGACTCATAGAGGATGCGGTCCATGGTGTTGAGCAGGGTCATACTCCTGTAGAACTTCAGCACCTTCTCCTGCGGCAGCTACAAACAGATAGAACGATTAGGACTGGGAGGGAGACAGGGAAGGGATGGGGCAGGAACAGGTGGGGGAGCGGCCTCACGTGGGGGTCCTCGCTGGGGTTGATGATCTGGCCTTGGCGGTCCATGACACGGTAGATGGGGATGCCAGAGATGACATTGGGCTGGATGAACTCGAGCTTGTCTATGAACTCCGCCGAGGCCCCTGGGAACTGGGGTTTGTCATCCAGGGAGGAGAAGGCCTGCTGCTGCTGCTGCCTGGAGGGGTGCTGGGGAGCAGACAGAGGGGTCCCCATGTGAGCAGCAGTACTGAGGTCCCAACTGGGCCCACCCTGGCAGGCAGCACAGTGGGTGAGCTGCATGGCCCAAAGAGACTCTGGGGCCTGGCACACAACACCACGGATACAGGGTCTGAACCGTGTTCTGCCATGTTCTTAATCTCAGGCAAGTTACTACAAGGTCGGGTCTCAGTTTCCTCATTTGTAAATTAGGATGAAACAGAGATAATGCATGGCAGAAGAGCGTGGGCACAGCATGCAGAAGGCCCTGGTTTGATCTCCAGCACCAAAACAAAACAAAAAAAAACAAAAAAACCCATCATGTGTATCCTGCAGAGCTGTTGCAAAGATTAAATAATTAAATGGCCGGCAGCTCCAGAACCAGTGGCTATAATTATCACAGGCCCAAACTCTTCACCCTGGCACGGTCTCCCATTCTACGGCAGGCAGAGTTCCCCCTACACCACTCACCGGAGGCATCTAAGACAGTTTAAGGGCGCTCACTGCAGCAGCACGTACACAAAGAGAGCTTAAGGCTTTGAGTGCCTACAGGGCAGATTGCCTGGCTCAAATCTCTTCCTGGGTGACAAGGCAAAGTGACTTCCCCTCTTCCTGTGCACCCTCATCTGTAAAATGGATAACACCCTGTGGAAATGTGAGGTCTACAGGGGTCCGCGTGTCTGAGGTGTTCAGCAGTGCACCGTACACCTTATAGAAAATGTGCAGAATTGTGCTGGCTGTGAGGTCTCCTACCACATCACCACTCTCGTTTCCTTACGTGAAGGCCTCCTCTTTCATAACCCAGCAAACTTCTCCACATGCTCCAGGGCCCTCTCCCTGAACAAGCCCGGAATGACTCATTCAACAAATATTTGTGTACCTTTATGTCCTGTGCAGGTTTCTGGGAATCTAAGACATCTGTCCTTGTTGCTAACAGGGAAAACAGGTGCTGACCAAAGAAGGATAAGGGTGATTCATCCTACCCCACAGGAGAGTAGAAAGCAGGTAAGGCTTCTCAGAAGAAGCGGCATGAGGGTGAGCCCTGCAGGATAAGTAGGAGTCAGGAAGGCAGAGTTCCAGAGGGGTGAGATATGCAAAAGACAAGAAGTAAGGGTTGGGCTGCCGATGTAGCTCAAGTAGCTCAGTGCAGCACAGGCTAGGCATGTGCCAGGCATTGCGTTCCAACCCGAGCACCACAAAAAAAGAGAGAAAAACAGAAAACTCTTCCTTTACTCAGATATGGTGACACACCATACCTGTAATCTCAGCACTGTGGGAGGCTGAGGTAGGAGGATCACAAGTTGGACCCCCAGCTTGGGCAACTTAGTGAGACACTGTCTCAAAATAAAAAAATAAAAAAGAGCTGGGGGTGAAGTTCAGAGTGAAGGTCCCTTAGCTAAATTTCCAATACCTTAATAAAAAAAAAACAAAAAGAAAGAAAGTGAGGGATGATTTGTTCTTCAGGAAAACTGAAGGAGCCGAGTGTGGAAGCGAACTGTGAGGGCACCACACCACCTTGGAGCGAAGCAGGCAGCCTGGGGAAGCCCAGGAGACACGGGAAGCTTAACGCTCAGCAGGTGGCCCAGCTCCTCAGGGCATCCGTGAGGCACACTGCCACTCCCTGTGAGACCAGGAAATCGAGGTGTGGGAGGGAAAATAGCTGCACCAGGCCACGGAGCTTGAGTAAAAAGCTATGTCATAACTGTGTTTCTAACTTGGCAGGGCTGAGACTCTGACCTCAAAACCCACGCCCTGAACCCCGGCTGCCACAGCTGACCCAATTCTCCCACGTGTGCGTCTCGTCTTCCCACCACTCCCTGGGTTTCTTTCAGGTCAGCAGTTGTGGCTTTGCCTCCACAGTGGGCGCTAAAGAAGGGTCTCACATGTGGGGCTCACGTGTGGTGCCCTCCCTTCCTTTAATTGCAGTGCAGAAGCTGCCAAAGTGCCGTGGGGTGGCGCGTTATGTGCGCACGATTATCTGCATTTGTAGCTGTGGGGAATTACACTGCCCACAGCCCGGCAGGTTCAGGCCTGACACCCGGCAGATGTGGCTTTCCCCTGCCAGGCAAAAGCAGCCGGCCAACTTGCAGCACCCCTCTCCCCTTCCTGGCACAGCTGGACCTTTACATTTACCCGGAAGATCCTTTTGTTCTGTCTCCCCCGCACAGTGCAGGTTCCCAGAAGCCAGGCGCAGTATCCAGATTGGCTTATACAACAAGCACTCCACAGATCATTACCCAACAAACAGGTGAATGCGTGGTCAGGTTCAGTGACTCTGGTGTTTGACTGACCTGGATTCCAATTTCTGAACCCAAAGAAAAGATGAATGAGTGGTCAGGTTCAGTGGCTCTGGAGTCTGACTGACCTGCATTCCAATTTCTGAGCTCACTACGGGTTCTCTGCAAACACTTAAGTCTGTAAATTTCCTCATGTGCAAAAACACTGCGGAGAGCTGTGGGCAAAATCCCTGGGATGAAGCATGCAAGAGGTTCAGCACAGGACAGGAGCAGACTATGTTTAAAAATTGGTAGGAGAGAGAAAAACAAACCTAGAAAGGTTGAAAAACAGAAGAGGGCTGGGGCCAGGGATTTAGCTCAGTGGCCCCACATCTGCCTCTCAAGTGAAAGGTCCTCAGTTCAATCCCATACATTAAAAAAGAAAGAAAGAAAGAAAGAAATAGAAAATGGTAAAGGGCAATGATGCATACCTTGGGAAGATGGACAAAAGTAGGGTGAGGCAGTACTGGGGACTGAACCTAGGGCCTTACGTGGGCAAGCATTCTGCCTCTAAGCCCCAACCCACTTTTTTTTTTTGAGACAAGGTCTCATTAAGTTGCCCAGGCTGGCCTTGAACTTGACAGTCCTCGCTCCTGAGTAGCTGAGATTACAGGTGCAAGCCACTGCATGTGGCTTAAAGTGAATTTCAATACTAATAGTGGCCCCTGCACACATTCCAGAGGTAAAAACCAAGGCAAGGCAGAGCCGAACAGTACCAACAGAATGGGCCTGCAAGCCTGGGGAGGGACCTTAAGAGGGTAAGAGGGGTTGGGGGGTGGTCAGGAGGGCAGAGGCGGAGGGCTGAGGATAGGCCACAGCAGGGCTGCTGGCCCCTAGGCTGGAACACTGCACACCTCGATACGCCTCTGACTCTGGAGCTGGGCCCAGATCTTGCCACCTCACTCTGGAGCCTGAGCAGGTGAAGGTCACCCATCCAGTCTCCTTCCAGGTGAGGTCACTGACTAGATTCAATGAGCCATGCAAAGGGCTGGGCCTGCCAAGGGCTCCATGATGGGTTGGGTAGTAAAATGCCTGCAGAGGAAGGATCTGACTCCACCCATTTCTCTCCTTAACCTTCGGTGGTGAGGCTGACCTGGTGGGCCTGAGGCTGCACAGATTTGCACAAAGCCTGGAAGCCGCAAAGAAGCAGGGCTTACTCCTGCTGGTGGCTTGGGATGGCCCCCGAGGTGCCATTTCCTCTGTGACACGGTTCAGGGGAGCACACAACACACTTCATCTCATCTCTGCCTGGACTACCCCCAGGTGAGGCGCCTAAATCAACAAAGATGGATCAGAGGCTCAGAGGGCCTAGGTGACCCGGTCAAGGGCAGTGAGATCACAACTGATGTCTTCCTCTGAAACCAGGCAGCCCGTATACAACTGCCCCAGGAGGTTGGAAAAAGATCAGGTCTACAGAGGGGTGGCTCTGTGCATGGGCCAGGTACGTAACTACAAGGCCTCTCTCTATTTAGAGGACAGCTAAGGCCACCCAAACCGGCTCAGTCTCTGCTCAGACAGCAGAGAGCTGGGCCTTGTTCTGGGCCTCAGGGACCCAGGAGCTTTAGCAACACTGGCTCCCCCAGGAACCATAGGTGTAAGCCCCGAGGGAGGTATTTCATTCTGTCTCTCATTCAGTCAAGACCAAAGCAGATTCACCCTCCCTGGAGAAAAACAGCTGCTCTCAATGCTTACTCTGACTTACTGAGGGCTGAGAAATGCTCCGTGAGAAACACTTTCTTTAACCTTCATTAATGTTTTCTAAGGGAGGCATTACTACTGTCCTCTTTTTTTTTTTTAAGGGTGGCCTCAAACTCACTGTGATCCTCCTGCCTCAGCCTCCCAAGGGCTAGGATTACAGGTGTGCACCACTACACTTGGCTTGGTACTAATACTGTCTTACAGATGGAGACCTGGTGTCGGAATCTAGAAAGCTGCTGTGAGAAGCAGAAGATCGGCCTTCACCTGAAGGATCACACACCTACAAAGGCCTCCAAGTGGAAGGAGGTGTGTGCATTCAGTTAAATAAAAACTACACAAGGCCACTGCCTGGGGCTAGGCTCCTGCAGTTGGCCCTCACAGACTAGACCAGTGATGGCAAACCCATGGCACATGTGCCACAGTGAGCTGTACCACAGAAGGCTCTAATAGGTTCACCATCACTGGACCAGACTAAAAATCAGTCATTCATGCTGAAGTTCCCCACGACCAAACCAAAAGTAAATTGTTTTATCGGACCATCTGGGGGCCAAATTTCCCCAATGGGCCAGTTTTGAGCAGCATAATAATAAAGTCCTCTCTGCTTTAATCCATAAAAAAAAAAAAAAAAAAAAAAAAAAAAAAAGACTAATGCTGGGCCAGGGATTTAGCTCAGTGGTTCCACCACCTGCCTTGCAAGTGCAAGGACCCGAGTTCGATCCCTGGTACCAAAAACTAAATAAATAAATACTAATCCTTACAAAAAACATAACCCAAAAGAACCTAGTATTGTCATCAGTTATTTTTCTATTATTCCCTCTCACTACAAGTCACAAGGAAGGTAACTTTGAAACCACTCTTGTGGAATACCCTTGTTTCTGCTTTTTTCAGCCTTTCTTCTATAAAACCAACCTCCACTAGGCTCACTGAAATATAGTTTCATGAAATGAAGTGTTCCTCTATCCTAGAATGACAAATTAAGTCAATTTAAGGGCCCCCAAACATGGGGGAGTTGGCCCAGTGTCAGAATGCTGGCCTGGCATAGTGGTTTCTATCTCCATGTCCCACTAAAAGCCTCTCAAGCTTACGGGCAGGCCCTTTGGTAGGCGACTAGATTATGGGGCAATGTCACTGACTTGCTGTTAGGAGGTGGGGCCTGGTTGGAAGAGGTGGGTCACTGTGAGTGTGACCTGGAAGTTTTTATCTCCCTTCCTGATTCCTCCATTAATTCTGTCTGCTTTCTGTCTACTGCGCCCCAAGCAGCTTTCCTCTGCTCCGTCCTTCGGCCATGCTATCTGCCTTGGAGCTGCCGTCCATGTACTGAAACCTCACAAACTGCAAGCCAAAATAAACCTCGCCTCTTTTAATTTGCTGGTATTGGGTATTTATCCCAGCAACAAGAGAAGTGATTAAGACACCTGGTAGGCGCAAGGACCTTGGTTCCATCTCCAGCACCACACACACACACACACACACACACACACACACACACACACACACACACACGATGGCCTGTAAGGTTGCAGTGAGGAGAGAAGGGCACCTTTGAGCCGAAGGCCAGTTCTTCCCAAACTAGTTTCCATACAATCCCAACAACCAGGCAGGTTGAGTAGAGGCTGGTGGTACACACCAGGGCTACACTGAGCAGGATGCTGCAAGACTGAAACCTAAGTCCACCTTCCTCACGGTAGCCTGGAAAAAGCTGGGCTTCAGAATCCAGAGTGTGATGATGTTCAGAACTTACCTCTCAGAGCCTCACCTTTCCCACCTATAGAAGGTACAACGGACTGTGCAGTGTGGCTATTTTAATAATATAATGAACATGAGCTTCATAATGTGAAAAAAGAAGCCAGACTTCTTCAGACATTAGCCAAAAGCGAGGAGAATGCCTGTGATCAGGAGATCAACAGTGACCACCTCTATTCATTCACGATAGCCCTGGACCCCTACCACTTGGAATGCTGCATGGGACACTCAAGCGCTACAGTCCTCGATGAGCCACCAAGAACAGCTGGCCTGGAGAAATATTGTCACCGATCATGACTACAGATCAAGCTCTAAGTGTTCCCTTACTTTCACCCAAGCTAGGATTGGAAAAGTGGCTTGGCCAGGCCCAGCCCTGGGGTGGTGGTTGCAAAACGGACTCATGACTCCCTGGACACTGACTTTCCTTCCTCCTCTTCTCTCTGAGCACTAAAAACATTTTCTATGATAATGAGGAGGAAAGGAGATGAAAACCGGGTAGACACCTCAGGAGCAGCAGGGTGTTCGGGGATGGAAGTAGTGAGAGAGGCAAGAGGGGAGGAAAAAAGAAAGGCAGCCCAATCCCTCGTAACCCACCTGCCCCATAATCCACCTCCCGACCTTTCTCAAGACACTACCTCTTTATTTCCACCTGAAGAAAACCACAGCTTCCAATATGGCAGCCACCAGCCACCTGCTATTTAAATCTAAGCTCATTAAAATTGAATAACACTAAAACTTCAATTCTTTAATCACTATCCACATTTAAAGTATCCACATGTGGCTACTGGGGACTGTAATGGACAACACCAATATAAAACATGTCCTCTCTCAGAAAGTTCTGTGGGACAGTCAAATCTTTAACTAGTACTGCCTCTTCCCTCCATTCAAAAAAAGGAACTTAAGCCAGGTACAGTGATGCGCAGCTGTAATCCCAGCACTTTGGAGGTTGAGAAAGGAGGATTACAAATTCAAATCCAGCCTTAGACCTTTTCCAAAAAAAAAAAACAGAAAGAAAAAGAAAAAAAAAAAAAAAAAGAAAAAAAAAAAAAAAAAAAAAAAAAAAAAAAAAAAAAAAAAAAAAAAAACACCAAAAAGGCTCAGTGCAAAGATTGTGGTTTCAATCTCTGGTACTGCAAAAGAAAAAAAAAAAATTTCTTTTTGAGTACCAGGAATTGAACTCAGGACCTTGTGCTTGCCAGCTAGGCATGGTGCCACTGAGCTATACTACCCGCCCTACACAAATTTTTTTTTAAAGGCAGTGACTCTTTCAAAAAATATTAGAACACAAGGATGAAGAGTGTAGGTGAATGGTAGAGCACTTGCCTAGCATGTGCAAAGTACCTGTGTTCAGAACCCCCCAATACTGCAAAAAAAAATTTACAACAGGTGGGAGAAAGGGGTTAGGGGAACAATGACTAAGAAAGTGTAAAATTTTAAATATATTAAAAGTAAAGACTTCTCCCTCAAAACAATAAAGGAGGGGAGAAAAAGAAGAGGGAAGGCAACAGGAAGACTGAGCTATGCAGGAAACAGATGTAACCACTCACAGGTGACCTTTCCTTAGCCTGCCGCCATTCTGCTCACCTCCCACCCCACTCATCCATCCAATGGGCTCTTGGGATTCAGATCAACCGTGGAGGCTCTGATTGCTTTTTAAAACTAAAGCCAAAAAAGATCAGCCCATGGGCAGAAGAGTTCCCTACCCCTACCCTGCTCCTGCAATCCTACATTTACCTGCTTCACACATCTTCACTCCTAGGCACCCACACTTCACTCTTGGCCCTGTCCTCTTCACTCTCCTCCTACCCAGAGCTTCTTCCCACAAATACTATCTTCCTTGTTTGACGAATTGGCAATCAAACGATCAGACACAGCCTCACAAGACCTTGCTTGAAGATCTTAATTCTTCAGGTCAATGCCAATCCAGCACACACCCCTCCCCGCAGGTAACCTCCTCTCTTCCAATCTCCAATTTCTGTCCCTTCTCTCCAACCTAACAACAGTAGCCAATACTCTTATTGCCTTAATAATGTGCTGGGTCCAGTTCTTAGCGCTTTTTGTATTTTCACAACAACTCTTGAGGGGGCCACTATTAGCATTTTATTGAGGAGCGAACATTTAGATCTGGAGAGGAACAAGGTGCAGTCTCTGGCCCAGGAATCCACAACTGGAAAGTGGCAGAGGAAGAATGTGAACCCAAACCCATCCACTTACCCACTCCAAATCTGGAATTCTAGTTCAAAGCTATTCTGCTGCCCCCTGCTATTCCTCAGCTAAACAGTGTCTTCTAACTAGAATTACTTTCTTTTTTAATTTTTAATTTTTTTCTGGTGGAGCTGGGGATCCATCCCAGGGCCGCCCACACGCTAGGTTACCACTCCACTACTGAGCAAACATCATCATCCCTCTACTAGATTATTTTAGCCGCAAGTCTTTGCCCTTGGCAGCATCTACTTACAGGGATTCCGACCCTTTTAATAAGAAACAAAGTTTTCTCAAGGATTTTTTTAAATGCAGACAAAAAGCCTTGTCTAGACCTCCCTCCTTTTCTCCATTAACTCAATAAACACATACTGATCATCTCCTCTGTACAATATCCACAACATGAAGAGTCCCTGTCCTGCTTTTCGATCAGGGAAGGATCGGGAATCAAACAAGTTTCTTACGCAATTCATTTCAAAACTGGAAATAGCGGAGGGCCGAGGATTTAGCTCAGTGGCACCGCGCCCGCCTCGAAAGCGCCAAGGTCCTGTGCTCGACCCCGGTACCGGAAAAAAAAAGAAAAAGAAACAATGGAAAGTAGCAAAGAAGTGCAGAGCCCTATAAAGGCCTGTGACAGGCATCCATCTCCTTTTTCTTTCCGCGAGACTTTTACTGAGAAGAAAGTGTCCCCTTACTGTCGTTGCCATTCACCGATCCCTGAGAGAACGTCGCCCCGTTCTGTCCCTTCAACGGGCCCCCGTTGTGGAAAGGGAAGCAACGAAGAAGGAACCCTCAATTCACACTCCAAACTGTCTCCTTTTTCTCTCCTTCCCTTTAGTGTCCTCTCCCACCAGTCTGCAAGTCCTTTTCCTATGAGTGACTACACACCCTGAAAGGGACTTCCCAAAATTTACAGATCATCCTTACGTCCTCGTTTCCACTACGGGAGAAATCTCTGGGAGCCCGGTACTCACAGATCTAGCCAACCCCCGAGCCCCAGGCCGCCGCAGCAGCAGGAGGGCAGCCTGGCTCAGGTTCTGCCCCCAGACCCTCGCCGAGGAGACCGCTGCCGCCATCTTGGCTGCTAATCACCCAGTGATCCGCCCCTCTCCCGGACTAGATTTGGGACTGCCTCCTGTTGAGCCTGATTCAAATGCTCACACCACTCGGACATCAAAGCACCTTCTTCCGATCACAGGAAAACTAGAATCCATACTTGTGTAAAGAAGACAATTTGCCTTTCCCTAAATTACCCCAGTCCCTTCGATGTATTAGCGTCTCTAACAGGCAAAGAAAAGGGCAACTTGATCAGCGCGTCAAGAGTTCAGGACCCGGGGGCCTCGAGTAGAATGAGTCCATGCCTAGGCCCGCCCCCTCTTCTGTACTGTCCAATGGCCTTGCCAGAATTGGGAGGTGGGGGGTGGGCAGGGCCGGTTTGTTGACAAATGCTGAGCCACGTGCAGGGGACAAATCTGCGGGCCCGGGAATAGGCGCATGCGCGCTGGGTAATCTGCCCACAAGGAAGCGCGGGTAGCTGGGCGGAAGGTAGTCAGGATTGCACGCGGCAAACGTGGGGCACGTGGGGCACGTGGGGCAATGGAAGGGACGATGCATATTGCCGCCGAGGTCTGCAGTGAGACTGGAGTAGAATCTAGCCCTCGGGGTCCTGGATGCAGCCTCAGGCACTTTGCTTGTGAACAGAACCTACTGTCCCGGCCAGATGGCTCTGCTGCTTTCCTGCAAGGTAAATACTTAATCCAGGTAAATTCTGCCCGAGCCATGTTTACCTGGGTCATACGTGTTTTGAAGAACGGTTAAAGTGATGAAAAACTTTTTACCAGGTGGATACTTTTAAATAGCGCGGACCCATACCTCTTCCTTTCAAGTTGAATCCAGGCCCCTGCGAGCTAAGCAAGCATTCTACCACCAAGCGGTATCTATTGCCCTCAACTAGTATTCTTTTATTTCATTTATTTATTGGTATCGGGGATTCGAACTCGGGTCCTTGCACTTGAGAGGCAGTCGGCGGAACCAGTGAGCTAAACCGCCAGCCCAACATTCTTTTAAAATGGGTTGGAGACGGAAACGTCAGAGCACCTCAAAGCAATAATGGTAGAATCGGGCTTTTTGTTTGTTGGTGCCCTTGGATTCATTAACGCAAATTTGTGTGAGTTTTGGTTCATGCTGTAAAATGTATTTTTTATTGGTAGTTATGGTCAGAGAAGCTTGGGAGCCACTGTTCACTTGGAAGTCTAGTATCTTCATTTTCAGGTCGTAAAACTGAGGCCCAGAGAGAGGTTAGCAAAATCATTTGGAATTACAGAGCCAGGTGGAGACGACCAGACTAGAAGGGAGGGCTTTTTATTTCCCAGGTCTTACCTCCCTTCATCTGTTCATATCCACTCTGGGGAAATTGAGCAGAGATAGATCCCTTTCTCAGGTGTTTGGACTGCTGCAGAATTTGGGGAAAGAGCTAGGCTGGAGGAAGCTTTGGAAAAAGAAGTTGAAAGTTAGCTTTCGGGGAGAACTTCCCGTTAAAGTTATTGGTTGTGCTCTGTGTTTACCAGGGCCCTGAGTATTTTAAGCGAATTGTGTCATTTAATTCTTACAAGAACATTATGAGGGAGATACCACTGTTAGTTCATTTGACCTCATTTTTACAGATGAGTAATCAGAAGCAGAGAAGTAAAGCAGATGCCTGAAGAATCACTGCCAACAAATGGCAAGAGCGCCCACACTGTTAAGTGCTGCACATTGGGCGCAGAAGCAGGCAAGGTATGGCTGAGGCCTCCTCTGCTCTCTCACCAGGTGATACCTCGGTCCTTGCCGGTGTGTACGGGCCTGCAGAGGTGAAGGTCAGCAAAGAGATCTTCAACAAGGCCACCCTCGAAGTGATCCTGAGGCCGAAGATTGGGCTGCCTGGTAATCAGACTTGGATAAATTGCTGAAGGTCCAGGCTGTCAGGACCTTGCTGGCTCCCTTCTGCCTGCTCGCTGTCCCTATTCTCTCCTGTTCCCCCACCCCGCATCTCCCCTCAGCTATTTTTGTCTCTTTCTCCAGCGTTCCACCTCTGTGTCTCAGTTTGTTACTTTTTTTTTTTTTTCATCTCCATGCCCCTGCTTCTCATGAACCTGCTTTTTCACTCTGTCTTCTTCATTGCCCATCATCTGGGTCCACTAGGTTTGGAGTGGCTGTGGGGAGCAGTCTAACCCTGCCTGCTTCCCACTGTGAATCCTATCACCTATGCAGGTCCTGTGCCATCTCAGGCTGAGTCTGTAGGCCCCTTACAGAGGGCTTTCCTCCAGAGGGTGGGGCAAGTGAAGGTGGTGAGGGCGAGCTGGGTGGAAGCAAAGAGTCTGACAACTTCTCCTTGATTTCCTCAGGCGTGGCTGAGAAGAGTCGGGAACGACTAATCAGGAACACGTGCGAAGCCGTGGTACTAGGAGCCCTGCACCCCCGCACCTCTATCACAGTGGTGCTGCAGGTCGTCAGTGATGCTGGCTCTGTATCCTTTCCCCAGCTGCCTCCAAGAAGTGGTCCCTAACCTCCTGATGGCTTCCCTTCTGGTGCACCTGGGATATGCCCTGTGACTGCTCTGTGTTCTGAGCACCTTCTACATACTAATTTAATCCTCACAGCACATAAATCAGGTGCCTTTACAAAGCCCTGTTTAAGCCCAAACCATCTGGCTGTAGAGGCAGAGTACACTGGGAGATGAATGTTCTTACGTTCCTGTTTCAGATGAGGAAAGTGAGGCCCTGAGAGGGAAATAGTTTGCCCACACTGGGAGGCAGCAGAAGTAGGCCTCAAACCCAGGCCTGCCTGACTCTAGTGTGTGTGCCTTTGACTTCCACTGTGTTCCTTAGTGTGGGTTTCAGGTTCTTGGGCTGAGAGCTCCCAGCAGGCAGAGCAGCTGGGTCACAAGCTCAGGAGTTAAGGCTAGAAAGATCACTGTGGTTTAGATGAATGAGGTTGCTTGTTTGGACCGGGGATCAAATTCAGGACCTTGCACTTGCAAGGCAGGTTTGGTGCCACTGAGCTAAATCCCCAGCCCTAATGAGTGAGGGTTTTTTTGTTTGTTTGTTTGTTTTTCATTACATTTATTGGTACTTCTTAGGTGTACAGTGCAGTTACATTCATCATTGGGATCTTGTACCTTTACATGATATATCTTGGTTCTTATTTTTTCCCCATTGCCCTTGGATGAGTGAGGTTTTGATGGGCACTTCCAGAGGGAGTTGCTGGTACCTGGCCCTGCACGTGGCAGGCAGTCTATGACTGAGAGGAGAGAAGACCTGCTGCTCCCCAAGAAGTGGAAACTGAAGTTCAGAGGAAGTGACAGAGGGTCAGTAGCAGAGCTGGACTAATAGATTTTTTTTTTTTTTTTTTTTTTTGTGGTACCAGGGATTGAACTCTGGTCTTTGTGCTTGAGAGACAGGCGGTGGCACCACTGAGCTAAATCCCTGGCCCAGGACTGATAGATTTTAAAGCTAGAGCCTTTGTCCATTCTACTAAGCCTGGGAGAGACATGAGGAAACTGAGGCAGAGCCGGCTGACTGATTCTAAGCCTGTGAACCCCTTGGGGCAGGAGCAGTAGCGGTTCCATTGCCTGGTATAGTGGCTGCCTGCTAACAGCAATTCCTACACTGGGTCTGGCATTGCCATTACCTCCTGCCATGTGATGTTGGGAGGTTTCTTCCTCTCTCTGACCCTGTTTTGCAGAAGCTTGGTATGTATTTAATATGTGTCTATTAGATAACACTGTGGCCCTGTGTAACCAAGAAGAATGCGACTCAGAATAAGTCACTTAGTGAATTCATGAGCTAAGAGGTAGCAAGGCCATGTATGGAATTGGAGTTCCTTTGTTATTTGTTTTTTTGTTGTTTTTTTTTTTTTTGAGACAGGGTCTCACTGTGTAGTTGAGATTGATCTGGAACTCACTGTGTAGCCCAGGCTGGTCTCGAACTCACAGCGATCCTCCTGCCTCAGCCCTCCACGTGCTGGGATTATAGGCTTGCACCACCACACCTGGCAGGATTCCTGGATCCCAGAGCTGTTTCTCAGCTCAGCAATTCTGTGATTGATTTGTGACGTCTGCCACAGGCATCAGATGGGGAAGATAGGCATGGATGTGTTCTGCCTTCCAGCCCCACAGTAGGCATTATTCTTAACTGCTCCTGTGGTGCTCAGCTCCTGGCCTGTTGCCTGAATGCTGCCTGCATGGCATTGGTGGATGCAGGTATACCCATGCGGGCTCTCTTCTGTGGCATCACCTGTGCCCTGGACTCTGATGGGACCCTGGTGCTAGACCCCACAGCCAAGCAAGAAAAGGTAAGTGTGAAGTACAGGGTGGCAGAAGGGCTGTGGCCATAGGGCTCTCCTGGTCTCCCTCCAGGCCTCATTTCTTTTTCTTTTTCTTTTTCTTTTTTCTTTTTTTTTTTTTTTTTTTACCAGGGATTGAACTCAGGACCTTGTGCTTGCCAGGCAGGCACAGGGCCACTGAGCTAAATCTCCAGCCCTAGGCCTCATTTCTTTGCTAGTCATTTGGCTCATGCACCTCAGCCTGAGTTGGTAGGTAATCCTTTACTTCAGCAGAGTTCATTCAGCTGCAAGTGCTAGGGCTCCAGCTCAGACTTGTGTAGGCCAAACAAGGAATGTATTGACTGTTGGCTTTCATTACCATATTCTGAAAGAGCAGAGGTCTAGCTAGAATCAGGATTTCACACACCATTTCCCTGCTTCATTTCTTTGTCTGCTTTTTTCTTTTTAATTTTCCTTTATTGAACTATATTGTGTATGTTAGTTTTTTGTTTTGTGGGGTTTTTCAGTATTGGGGATCAAACTTGGGATCTTGTGCTTGCCAGGCAGGAGCGGTGCCACTGAGCTACATCCCTGGCCTTATGTTTGATTTTTCTCTGGCTTTCTCTGGCCAGCATCTTTCCCGAGGCTAGGACTGGCTCCATCAGCTCCAGTTCTGTTTCCCTCCTAAAAGGCTCAAAAGCAAAGTGGAAGGCAAGAGATTTCTTCTTACTGGCTCCAGTTCACAATATCCCAAGGCTGTTACTCTGTGGCTGTTTTCTGCCCTGTACCACATTGGTCATAACCAGTCAGGAAAATGGGATAACCTTTGGGATACTTTTTTTTTCCCCCATAAAAGTCTTTTGGTACTTTTTAGGTATACAGTACCATTACATTCATCTTTGGGGTCTTTTACCTTTACATGATGTATCTTGTTTCTTATTTTTTCCCCACACCCCTGCCCTCCCTTCACTCCCTTTGTTCTTCCCTATTTACAAGACTTTGTTTTTATTTTTCCTTTTCTATTTTTTCTTTTCCCTTCTTTCCTTTCCCCTACCTTTCCCACTTCCCCTACTCTTTTAGCTCTTTTCTTCCTATTTCACGTTATCATTATACAATTTGAACCTTATTTACACTTTTAGTTTTTCATGCCAGAGAAACTATTTGGTATTTACACATGTGTGTCCTATTTATTTCACTTAAGAGGATGGCCTCAGTATGCATCCATTTAGCTATAAATGACTCTAGTTTCTTATTCTTTATGGCTGATTGATATTGCATTTTACAGAAAACCACATCTTTATCCAGTCTCCAACTGATGGGCAGTTGGGCTGTTTACAAGTTTTAGCTATTTTAAACTGTGCCACTATAAACAGGGGTGCATATATTGCTGTGGTATGATTCTTTTAATTCTTTTGGAAAGATACCCAGCCGGGGAATAGCTGGGTCAAATGGAACCTGTAATCCTAGTTTGAGTTATCTCCATATTGATTTCCACAGTGGTTGCACCAGACTGCACTCCCCTTTGGGATACTTTGGACAAGAGGGGGTTTAATGCAGAGGATCAGTAGAAACAGTGTTGGAAGAGTTGGAAAAGCAAAACAGAAAGAAGGGATGGTACCCAAAACTTCTGCTGGCCCCAGGCTGAACCTGTGTGCTGATTCCTGCCCAGTGCTATTGGAAACATTATGGCAGTTGGTTCTGTTTTTTTGTTTGTTTGTTTTGTTTATTTTGTTTTGTTTTGTTTTTGAGTCAGGGTCTCACTGTGTAGTTGAGACTGACCTGGAACTCACTTTGTAGCCCAAGCTGGTCTTGAACTCACAGAGATCCTCCTGCCTCAGCCTCCCGAGTGCTGGGATTATAGGTGTGTACCACCACACGTGGCTTATGGCAGTTGGTTCTGAATGCACAAAGTTGTCCTGCCTTTCCTGGCTGCGGAACTGCAGAGTCCACCTCACCTCCACACCTACTCAGGCAGTTGCCTCTGTCAGTGAGGACCAGGCTGATTCGCTCAACTCTCCTGGTCTTCACCAATTACTGGTAGAACCTAAAGGCAAGGGAATCTGGGGAATATAGTCCACTGGCCTCAAGGCTGGGCCTCAGAGAGCCTGGAAGGGAGGCAGAGTGGCACTGGGTAAATGACCAGCAGTGTGGCTCCCCCTATGGGGCAGGAATGCTGCGGCCAGAATGAGGGGCTTGAGGAGCAGTTACAAAGGAGAGGTAGGGAGCCATTCCCCAGAATGGGGTAGTGTGCAGACAAACAACTACAGTTGATACTTGAGCCCCAGACCATGGGAAGGTGAAGTCTTTAGGCCAAAGTTCTGAAACATCCCCGAGACTGGGTTTTATTTGAGAGGAAGGTCCCAGGTTCCTCACTACCTTCTCCCTCTTATTCCTAGGAGGCCCGGGCAGTCCTGACCTTTGCTCTTGACAGTGTGGACCGGAAGCTGCTGATGTCTAACACCAAGGGGATCTATTCTGATGCTGAGGTGCCTGTGTGGGGACAGGGATGAAAGCCAGAACCTTTCCTCCCACCATGACATGACACCTTGTCCCAATTCTGAATTCTGCTGCATGCCTAGAGGATTAGGGAGGACCCTTCCCTTACATCCCTATCTGTAAAAGAGGGAGTTTTCAAGATTTGTAGCTGTGGAAACCTTTGTGGAGGGAAGCTCAGTGTATGAGAAGAAAAGAGGGGAGTATGGTTTGAAAGCAGGAGGCACAGCAGCAGATTCCAGCTTAGTGACCTGCCCAGAATTTTATGTCTGTAGAGTGTAGAAGTGGGCCGAGTGGTCCCCAGAACCTGGCCATTCTATGAATCCAAGAATATGGCAGTGAAGCTCTGGGGGCCTCTTGTTCTATGAGCTCTGAGCTTCCGTGCCCCTGGAAGGTGAGAGTCTCTCCAGTGCACATGAAATAACCCCTTACCAGTCTCACCTGAGATGGGAAGAGGGGATGGTAGGTTTGGGGGCTCTGGGAGTCTGTGTGGCTGCGTATAGGGCAATGTCCGCAGCACCGACCAGCTTCTCTCCTCTCAGCTCCAGCAGTGCCTGGCTGCAGCCCAGACTGCCTCACAACATGTCTTCCGCTTCTACCGGGAGTCACTGCAGCGGCGCTATTCCAAGAGCTGAAGCAGGCTGGGGCAGGGCGCCCGTCCCACCTCCACCCACCCACTGCCCCGACCTGAAGCAAGCCAGCGGCTCTCTGTCCCCATGTGCCCATGTCAGCTTCCAGTCCTGTAGCCGCTGTGGTTCCTGGGCAAGGGGGCTTAGGAACCACCGCCTTGGTCCCTGATCCAAGGGCACATGACCCCCACCTCTCCATAAGGACAACATTAAAGGGAGCTCACATGTTCTGAATGAATGAGTCACTGCCTGCTGAACACCTATTGTGTCAGGCCCCACTGGGCGCTGAGAAATCCAGTGAACAAGAGACCCAAGCCCCATGTTCAGGAGCAGTGAACAGTAATTGGTATTCCTCAGATGATGGTAAATGGTACGGCAAAAATAAGTGGGAAACGGGAGTTTAGGAGCTCAGTTTGGGGAGGGCAGATATGGCCCAAGCCAGGGAGTTTTGCAGGCTGGGTAATATTTGAGAGGAAGAAAGGGAGGGAGCTCTTGGATACGTGGGGCAGAGCCCTCATGGGTCAGGGGCTAGCCAGGCAGCTGTTGGGGTTCATGTGGAGTGAGCAAGAAGGAAGAGATGGGCTAGTCTGGGGGGAGAGGCACAGCCTGAACACTGGGCCTTGGGCCACAGGAGGGGTCTGGCCCTGAGTACTGTTGTAGCCAGCCTGTTAACCCCATGGGGTAAGGCTCTTACAGTCCCTGCTTGAAGATGAGGACATAAGCTCCAAAGCTAGTTAGCTGCTCGAGGTCACCAGCTAACTGGTCATGGACCTAAGGTCCCACTTGAGCCCACTTGAGCCCAGTTCCTTGCTGTTGAGAGAAAGACCAGGGAGATGCTGGCACACTGGGAGTTCCCTGTCCCAGGCTCCCTGGTACTCAGGTGTGGTAGCACCCCCTAGGAGTGTTTAGAAATATGAGGGGGACACATTTAAGTTTCAGGTGGACTGTTCCCCACCTCCCAGGGCCCATAGTGGGCAGGGGCCAAATGCAAAGAGCAAGTGTCCCAGGGCTGGACCACAAGGGGGCGAAATCTGCAGTCCTGACACTAGGGGCAGGGCTTCATGCATCACTTCCTCTGCTGCTTTTTTGGGGGGTATCAGAATTCAAACTTGGTCCTTGACCTTGCGAAGCAGGCATTGCGGAACCACTGAGCTAAATCCCTGGCCCAGCTCCTCTGCTTCTTGCTTCACATCTTGAATTAGCTTGCAGAAGCCCCAGTGGCAAACAGCTTCATCCCCAGGAACCAAGAGGGAAAAGTGCAATATCTTCAGCTTGAGATTACGCTTCATTAGATGCTCAGAGGAACATTTAAGGTGGGGGGGACAGGACAATATTTTCTAGCGAGATGGTCACAATGGTGTTAAACACTGAGCTGATGTGCACCTCTCTGTTCTGACAGTTGGCCCCCTTCAGTGATGGCTCCTTTGTGTGCTGTGCTGATGTCTCACCCCCCCCTGGTGCCTGCGTGTTTCCTGAAAGTCTTGTCCTTGCCAAGCGAGGCCCATTTGACTTGAATGGTGGCCGCAGCCCCAGGCAGGAGAAAGGGATCCTAGGAAGTAGGCCTTGCACTGCCTGAGTTTCTGGAGCTATTTTTCTCCCCCAAGAAGAGGGTGCCGCTGGCACTGAGTGAAGCCAATAGAGGCCAAGGGGTGCAGAGAGAGCCGTTAACCTCAGGTGAGCCCAGGTCCTGTTCTCCCTCGGTGCTCCTACCTCCTGTTGGTTAGGGTTGCCTGAGTGCAGTCGCCTGAGGGATGCAGCAGATGGCTGTTGACCTGTAGGGTGCATTTAGGCCCCATCCACTCGGAGTGTGGAGAACAACAACCCCATTTTGCACATGAGAGAAGCGAGGCTGGAAGACCAGTTACTGGGACCGAGATCACACTGAGCAGGAGGAGGAGCGAGGCCCTCCCACCTGGAGAAAGCATGGCACACCGTGCCACACCCACTTCCTCCCAGCTGAGTTCTCACGCCTGCCGCACCTGTCACCTTGGCTGGCCCCTCCGGGTCTCAGATGCACAAACACACACACCCAATACAGCACAGACTCGGGTTTGGCTGCAAGGATATCTTTAATTTCTCCCATTGCTGTGGCCAGGGAGGGAAGGGGTCTCCAGCTGGTTTCTGGGCGATGCTGCTGCTCCTGCCGCCACATCACGCACCAGGATTCTCCACTTTCTGCCCATGGGTGCTCCCGGCTTCCGGCCTCTGGGTTCACAGTGGGGGCCGAAGAGGCAATTAGGGCGGGTCTCGGGAGGCAAGGTAGGTGGCCAGGGTCACCAGGGCAGCTGCATATGTGCACAGGCCCAGGCCAACGGCAAGGACCCCCAGCAGGAAGGCGCGGCGGGAGGCGGCTCCTGCCACCTGGATATCCCCCTTGGCCCAAGCCTTGTTGGTCTGTAGAGGCAGTGGGCAGCGGTGACCGAGGCGTCCCCTTATCCCTGAATTGTGTCCCATAGCCCCAGACCCTTTCTTTTCCTGAGCCTCCTGAACCCGACAACCATTCACTCATTGATTCACTGGCTTATTCCAGAGCCACAGAGTGCCTCCCATGGATTGGATCAGGCTGAGTTGGGCAGTAGAGATGCTGGGTAACTAATGAAAACATGCTACTTCAGATAGCCCGCTATTACAACTGACTTGATTTCCACAATGACCACAATGTGGAAATTAGTCCCATCTTATGGAGGAGGAAAGGCAAGTTAAGTAGCTTTTGCCCAAACTCTTACAAAGGATGGCAGACCCAGAATTTGAATTCAGATTCTTAACTGTCACTCAGGGCTCTGTGAAACTTGCCTCATTTTACCCATGAAGGTTTCTGTGTGGATCCTTTTCTCCATCCTCTTCTCCACTGCCCTTGGGCATGACATTCCTCTTGGACTCTGTGTCTTTGTTTCCTTGGAACATTTTTTGCTTCTATGCCCAGTACCCTCCCGGCCCCATATACAGACTGACCTTCTGGGCCAAACAGAAGGCAGCGATGCCCACAGGCCAGAAGCAACACAGCATGGAGAAGACCGCCAGGCCAAGGTGGTCATGGGGTAGAAGCGGGGAGACATGGCCACCCCCATCCCAGTCAGAGTCACTGTCACTGGATGTCGTATCCTGTGAACAGAAGGCCTAGGTGGGCATCTCCATCTTCCCTCCTTGCCCACTGCTCTGTTCCCCATAACCAAGGCCAGTACTTCTCTAGGGCTTCCTGAGAGGCACGAAAATGTTCTAAGAGGTAAAGTGGTGAGCCTGCCTAGATCTTGGGTCCCTTGGAAGGGAAGTTGTGGGCCTTGTCTCCCAACAATACCCAGCCACGCTCAAAAGTTTTTGAGTTTTTTCAAGAGGTTCATGTAATTTCTTGTAATCTCTTGAGTTTAAAAACCAGAAGTGGAGACAGATAACATCAGGCGTGGGAACCTCCCAAAAGAGGGAGATTATAAAATGCCCCAGTGTCCTAAATTGCTAGGGCAAACCTGCCTGCTGAAAACTAGATCCCTGATGAAAAGTGTAAACAATCTTACAAGCTGGGTGCGGTGGTGTATGCTTGAAATCCCAGGTACTCGGGAGGCTGAGGCAGGAGCATTGCAAGTTTGAGACCAGTCCAAGCAACTTAGACCCTTTCTCTAAATAAGTAAGTAAAAATTTAAAAAAAAAAAATTTTTTTTAACAGGGATGTAGCTCATAGCTCCCTGGGCTCAACCTCCAATATGAAAAAGTAAACCAAAACACAAAAAACATTAAGGTGAAAAAAGACCAGGATCCACAGGCTAGAGGTGTATGGGCTCTGGAGAGAGAAGAGGCGGACAACAGAGGAGTCAGAGATCAGAGAGATGACAAACAGCCGAACACCAGGCAATGACGATGAGTCAGAAAGACGGAGAGAAAACCAGGGGAACAAGGATAGATAACCTGAAGCCCCAGCGACCCCATCTGGAAGAGGTTCCAAGCCTAAGACAGGTCCTTCCAGTTGCCAGCCTGCTAAACATTAGCCACAGCTGGCTGCACCCCCCAGCCCTTTCCCCTGGCTTCCGCCGAAGCCTGCTGTTCCTACCTCAAGGTCCAGAGGCTCTGGCTCCCCCAGGCCAGCACTCACAGAGGAAAAAGGTGGTGGTGGGGACTGCCAACCCCTCAGAGACTCTGCAAAGGCTGTCTCTCTTAAGGGGGCCCCCAGCTCAGGTTGGCCAGGCTTCTGGGCAGGGGGGTCACAGGCTGTGCCTGCCAAGAGAGGCTGTTGAAGCTCCTGAAGACTAGGGCTGTCCATGGCCGGGGGAACACTCTGATGGGCTTCCTGGGGGCACAGGGAAGACAAATACCGGTTGAAAAACAGGCTCACCTTCAACCATCCCCTGACTTGAGAGAGACTCAGGCAGAGAAGAGCGAGTTCAATGACCCTCAGATCCATTTCTCAGACGGGAAAAGTAAGGCCCAGAGAATAAAAGAGGTTGGCCCAAGGTTATGAAGAGAACTCAGGAGTCTGGACATTCAATTCTGGGGTTTTCTTTCAAGCGAAACCCCCCACATACTTGTTGTATGCTTATTTCAAACTATGCCTTACACACCTGCCCGATGAACTATCCCCCCATCCAGGCTCACCACCCCTCCTAAGTACACACACCTATCTCTTGCCCCGTGACATCCAGAGCTTCACTCTGATTCACGCCACCACCCACCTGTCCCCCCCTGCACACTGAGTTGCCAAGGCGCAGTCCACACAGCCTCACCTGGGGAAACACCCCCAGCCCACACCTTCATCCGCCCGAAGGTCCTTGAACACCTCCCCAGACAACATCACTCTCAGGCCACAACCTTCTTACACATTTATCCCAAGCAGCTCGTTGCACACACACTCCTAGTCCTCACTATCGGAAATCACGCACATCCCCCTCACCTGCACAGGCTCCCTCCCACACACACCCATCTCCCATCACTTGCCTTGCACGCCTCCCCACACACGCATCTGGGTCCAGCCCCCTCCCCACTCCACTCGCACCTGCGACCCCACACACCTGCCTGCTCTCTAGACACCTGGTTTACCCTCTTTGCACACCTCAACCAGTAATCACCCCAGGACACACGTTCGTGGGCACACTCAACCGGAACAGCCTTCTCACCCTACATCCCCTGAGGGGCCCCCCAACCTCCTGCCGGCTCATCCCAAATCTCCATAGGGCCAATTTTCTCGCCAGAGGTTTGCATCTCCTCTCCACAGCCGGGACTCTGGGGAGGGACGGCGCCACCACCCCCCCGCCTCCTCCTCCCCTAGCTCCCGCCCACGGTCAATCGCTCAGGCCCCC